GATCACCATTTTCAAAAGCCTGGATCTTGGCGGTCAAGCTTCCAATTACTTTGAAAAATTTGGAGTGTGTAAAACAGACCTAGATTGAAAATTTTGCATTAACAAAGTTTTTTGAAAATTCCCAGTTGTTCAGATATTTGCCGATTTTTAAAAGACATTCCTTTTTTGCCGGGTTTCGTACTAAAAATTTGAGCAATTGGTGTATTTCATAAATCGACGAATAACTCAAAAACGAGGAATTCCTAACAAATTCTGTGAATGCAAAGTTTCAAAACTAAATTATTTTTATAATTTTTGAAATTTTGAGAGTGATCCGACGCCTGACAGCCGAGCTCCAGACTCCTGAAAATGGTCATAATCAACTGAGAAACTTGTTTTTGAATTTTTTCAAATACCGTACCCATCGCTCGCTAACACTTCGTTACCGATCTATCACGTATGTTCAGAAACAAGAAACAAATAAATAGGAGAAGTGGAGATCCCGTAGTCTATGTAGATCAGAAATTTCGTCTGTCCCAGACAGATGACTATCTCCTTTATTCGTAATGCTACAAATCGTACAGCGGCTTGATTTTCGATGTCAATTTATATTGATAATTGTACTATGCCTTTTTATCATATGTATATATAATGAAAAGGTTTCAAACAAGGAGTCTTAATTTTAATATTGTCCTGGAACTCCAGAGAGTCTTGGATAGGAAACAAAAAAGTACAAAACTAATTTAATATTGGTGTCAAGTTGCTATGTTTTTAAAAACAAAACGTATTAGTATATCTGAAGCCGTCCGCGCTTTTTTTGTGTTCCTTGAAGTATTTCTAGTTGATCAAGAAACAGCTAGGAAACAGGAGCTTTTGAAACTTTGAGCTCACATATCCTGGTTTCTGTGACAGATATCAAAAAATGGCTATTTAATAAAATGTTCATTATAAATTAAAAACATGTTGTCCATTCACTAATTTGTGATATCTTCCACAGAAACCGAGATAAATTGGCTCAAAGTAAAATACCGAGTAAAATGATTACGGTATCTTGAAAATTCTTCGCCTCTAATTTTCTGTAATGAAGCAATCGGCCCGAAGCAGTTTATAGTGTTTTTTCTTTTTTCTATTTTCTTGGAAAATAAGCTTGTGGACATCAAAATTCGTTCCAAGCCAAACCAAAATAAGCAATCTTAAATGGTAAGACATATAAGGAAAAAACGCTATAGAGCACTTTGGTCCACACTTCCGAAAGCAATTTTCCCATCTTTACTTCCACAGGGGTCCCTTTGGGGTGCCCTTAAAAAACCAGGAAACCACTTCTCCGGAACTCATGGTCCCCAGGCAGCCCCACTCTGTTCTCTGAATAACCTTTGAGACTTTAGTAGAAGACGGCCCCTTCGATTCATTTTTCTTCCCAAACATCTAAGAAGGCGTTGGCTGGCCCGATCTCCCAAGTTTCAACGGACCATTGAGTTGTTGGTTTTTTGTGCGCCACTTTCTTCTTTTTCTTTTTTGTTCAAGAACTCTTTCCGAGTTCATCGAAACGAAAGATTTTCTGGGACATTCGTTTAGTCGTGTAATTCCTAGAACAATGACTGACTTGTAATGAGTATAGTCAGAAATTTTTTATTATTATTATACCAGTTCTAGGTAATAAGTTCTGTTTACCTGAAACTAAAATTCTCAAATAAGTAGATCAAAGCAATGCGATTCTTTAGAAGAAAATCTTGATTTTCGATAATGAACAGGATTACTCTAGGTTAGCATAAACACCTCAAAGAATTGAAACTACAACATTGAGCTCAATTATTTCGATCATTGTGAAAGATATTAGAAAGTTGTCAATTGACAAAATGCTCTTGATATTATGATAAACAATTTATAAGTTGACAATTTTTGTTGTCTTTGACAGCAACCAGGATAATTGAGCTCAAAGTTGACGGTTTGGGTAGTCTTCTAGTATATGAATTACGGTTTTGTTGGTTAGAGCTCAAATTATCTTTTCATCCGTAAAGATTGGCTATCTTCTCATTGAGCCGTTTCTCCAATTTATCACGGAACGTGCTAAACTCTAGTTGTCTAAAAATAATCATACGCTGAACGTCAAAAGTGCAAATTCCCGTCAACCCATGGATCCAGATTGACAGTTGGTCGTACCCCGTGGTCCTCGATTGTAGGAGGATGAATCTTCAATTTACTTTGATCAACGTCTGATCTTTTTTCCGTCCTTCTGTCAGCTTCCTTTATTTTTCATCACCCACTTGTATCTTCCCACTTCTCACATATAAGATCACACCGTTTAGTCGCTTCTGTACACGTTTTTACAGATCATGAACTTTTCTCACACAAATCAGCAACACGGCAACAAGGCCGTGTTGTCTCGTTGGAGACAGGATGTCCTCCTCCTTCTCCCACCCAACACCCTGCATTCATTCGTTTCTCCCCTAGTGAGGGCGTTGCGTAAAAGTGCGTGTAAAATTGATGTCAAGCGGGAAGATCGGCGGGAGGTACAGAATCGGTTTGCCCTTCTTTTTCCTCGTCCATTCTTCTCATTTTCTCACCCACTACAGTTTTTTTCAGTAGTAGCTGTACTAACAGAAAAACATGTTTGTTGTAAAGTTCAAACGATTTTTTGTACTCTCGATTTGACTAGTTTGAGGTAGAAATGAGGAGAAAATTAGATGCAATTTTGGAACTAGGTGATGTTTCTAGAAAACGAAGGGTCAAAAAATGTCCGTTTGCTATCACATTTTGCATCTTTTCTGTACTGTGATTTGCAGAAGTACACAAAGAGTGTAAATTTCTAAAGAATCATGTCATGTGCTACGATTTTCGGTATTGCGTACTGTAACGGTCGATAAGATATGCAAAATCATAGTTTTTTGTAGATTTTCGGAACTTTTTCAGGAGCCTAGGGCTTGGCTATCAAGTTTCCGATCAATTTAGAAATTTTGGAGGGTGTAAGACAAGTTTAGATTGTAAAATTTGCATTTGGAGGATTTTTCAAATAATCCTAGTTTTTCAGCTATTTGCCGATTTCTGAGGGACACCCATATTTAGTACCAAAACGGGCCAAAAAGGTGTTTTTCAGAAAACGGCAAATTTCTGAAAAACTGGGAATTTTCAAAAAATCCTGGAAAAGCAATCTAGATCTTTTTCACATTCCCTGAAATTTCAAACTGAACGGAAACTGGAGAGCCAAGACCCCTGAAAATGGTAAAAATGGCCAAAAATCAACTAGAATGTACATCTTTGCATATCTTATTGAACAGTATTGTCTGTCTGGTATTTTAGTTTGATTTTAGTACAAACACAGACTGTGTTTTCGATTAGGAATGTTATCAATGCATTCATTGGTCTCTGAAAATTTGCATATCAATATATCCATTGTTCGGCTAACATCAGGAAGAGCAGTATGTCATGATACACCTATCTTGTTTGCAATTCCATATTTTTCCTGGTAGAAGTCCTTAAATCTAATCTATTGCCTCTGTAAGTCTGTAAAAACAGCTGCTTCCAAATTGTTCTAGGCTAAGGAAACGGCGTGTTGTCTCCGACCAGCCATCAAATCATCAAGTTAGTTAGAAATATATATTTCCGTTGACATTTTAGATTTCCTGATTGAGAATTGAATCCTTGGAATCCGGAAATTTGAGCTTTCAATAAGTCTGATGTTTTTACTCATTGACTCACGTTGTAGATGTTTTGCAAGTCCTGAGAATTCCATGCTTGATTTTTTAATGAGATTCTCTGAGAGAGAATTTCGGAGGAGCAAAAAAAATCTCTAGAAAACTCTGGAGCATGAAAAAACGGCTCTTTCGCTCGACCAACTCCTTCTCTCTTCTTGATACTAAGTCCTGAGTCACACTCTCAGACACTTTCTGATACTCCTGAAAGCAGGAGAAGAGAGAGAGAGAGATAGAGAAGGAAGAGGTTTAAGAAAGTGCAATTTGCTTCTTCTTCCACTTTTTTTTTGTGTTGTTCCAGTCTTAAATGTGTCCACGATAAAGCTGTCCCGTAGTTTTAGTCAACAATCGAGGGGCCAACAGCTGATTTCGAGTTGGAAATATCGAAAGTTGGAAAAAGCGTGCCAACTGACTCGTGATCTTAAATACATCAGGAATCGAAGCGACATACACCTGAAAAGAGAAGTTTGGTTGACATTTGCAAGTGAAATCCAGATGTTAGTTAAATGGAATTACCGGTAATTTCTTTTTTCAGACATGTTTCCTGAATGTTTGTGATATTTAATATTTTCGAGCGTAGAACAAAATGGTTTGGAAGTAACATTTTGATTCATTTCGGTTCCCTGGAATATTTTTTATGGAAAATGATGTCCAGCCAAGTTACTAGCTGGCGGAGCTATTCATATATCTATATCTATTCAAATTGTTGCCAATTCAAAAAATCCCCGGCAGCACAATAGCAGCCCGTACCACCTACACAAAATCCTCATCATTTTCAGGAAAAAGGCAGTGCCGCCTCTTTTTTTTCCTGTCCAACTTCATTATTTTGCCCCGCTCGCCACCGAGACTCACTCTCGACGCTACTTCCTATCTGATTTTTTTCTGCATTTTTATTCCTTCCCTTTTTCCTTCCTACTTTTGATTCCATTTTGAATATCGTGGCTGGTTTTTTTTAGTCTCACTTTATTTTTTTTCCAGAGAAAAACTTTGAGATGACGTTATTTTCTTTTTGAAGACTCCTTTTTTCTCGTACAACTCATATGAATTTGTAAACGACGGCTGGTTTGTGATCAGTAGATTAGCATGAATAATTAGAAAGTTCAGTCCAGCGTTTCTTGTTTCCTATTCCTCATTTCTTTTTCATACTTGCTCTTCAGATCCTCAAGAATTTATAAAACGATGAAACTTTTTTTTCAGAATTCGTGATATGCTCACACTGACAAAACTTGGATAAACGCAAACAACTACACAAAAGTTTTCAAAACGGATTCCATAACGACTAACGCTTTTTGGGAAAATTTCACTTTTCCCAAAATTTTTGAGCTGCCCGTAATGCGAAAGTACGAGCCACGTATCAGCGACGAAGAAGAGGAAAGCACTTCGGATCTGGATCAAGCGGTGAGTGCACTTTTATTTATTATTAGGATAATATTCACTTTTTGGTTTGCATGTGAATGGCTTCTTGTATAATTTTTGTTTTCGATTTGTGGGTTTCTTGAAAAATCATTATTTTAAAAATGGAAGCCAATTTCTTGGGACCAAAAGCAAGCTAATCATTGTTATTCCATTCTTTCATAAAGGTCATGAAATAAATGACTGAATTTTTTTTCGAAAATTTGCATATTGTGTTGTCCTGTTCATTTGTTGTCTACTGTACCTTTATATACAGTATCGGTCGATAAAATATTTAAAAAAAAGTATTTTTAAGTTAATTTTTGGCTTTTTCAGGGGTCTGTAGCTTGGCTGTGTTTCCGATCACTTTGAAAATGTTGAAAGGGGCCTAGATTGAAAATTTTCATAATTTTTTTCGGATTTTCCTATTTTTCAGTAATTATTTGATTTCTGAAAGACACCCTGTTTTTGTACTGAAATCGGCAAAAATAAGTGTTTTTCAAAAATCGGGAAATAGCTGAAAGAGTAGGATTTTTAAAAACATTCTGTGAATGCAAAGTTTTTAATCGAGGTCTGTTTCACATTTTTAGAATATTGCAAATTGATAGGAAACTTGCCAGCCGAGCTCCAAGCTCTTGAAAATGCTTAAAATTGCCAAACGATGGCTAAATATTACGTTTTTGCATATCTTATTCACCGGTACTGTACATTTCTGGTTTGCAAAATACCAAAAACCAACAGGAAATCTTTCAATCAATATCCCTCTGCTCCATAACACCCTGACATCATCCTCTTCATCATGTAATCTACAACTCCTCCAGTTTATCATAATTTGAGCTCACTTGAGATCATGAATAGATTCGTGAGATCCGCGCGGATTAGATTAGGATGTCAGCGCATTTTTTCTAATGGATAGAAGTTCTTGACGGATAAGAGATTAGGTGGGAGAGAGAAAAATCTGGCAACGATTTTCAGGGATTACGATGTACGGATAAAAATAGAAATGCTCTGGATCTTATTGATTTGGATGGATGGGATTAAAAAAAGAATTTAGAAATTGATCGAAGGGGGTTTTTCGGAAATAAAACAATAAAATACTGTAAATAACTATAAACTATAAACACAAAGAAGTGTATTTAACAATTTCAAAAATAATAGGTTCAACAGTCTTAGTCATTGTGCTCTCTGCTTGGGTAGGAACCACCCGATCAACAATGCTCCTTTCTTTCTCATCACATACGAAAATTTCTTTACGTTTTGCCTGTATGTGACACTCCGCCGAACGTGTGCTGTTTTTGATTACCAGTCTGTCTCGACCGACCCCGCGCTCACACGGCACGCACAGTGGGGCAAAATGGGGAGGGAAGTTATGAAGGGAAGAAGAGAACTAGAAAGAGCCAGAGAGGTAGAGAGAGTGAGTTTCTTTATTTACTCTCACCGTCATTTCAATTCAATGGGTATTCTATAACTTTCTATTAGAAGATTTTTTAACGCCTAGAGATTCCAGAATTGCACTTACAGCTCGATAACATCTACGAGAACGTATTTTTCTGTTGATTTTTGGCAATTTTCAAAATTCTGGATCTCGGCTATTAAGTTTCTCATTAATTTGAAAGTTTGGGAAGTTTTAAAGCAGACCTAGGTTAAAAACTTTGCATTTACAGGATTTTTTGAAAATTCCAAGTTTTTCTGATCTTTTTCGTTTTCTGAAAGACCCGCTTATTTGGCTTCTTTTTGTAATGAAAACATGAAAAACAGCTGCCATTCAGAAATTAACAAATAATTGAAAAACTAGGTAATTTCAACAAATTCTGTGAATACAAACTTCTAAATCTAGTTCTGTTTCACACCTTCTTGAATTCTCAAAACAATCTGAAACTCGGCAGCCGAGCTCCAGGCTCCTGAAAATGGTTAAATTAGCCAAAGATCCACTGATAAACACGTTTTTGTATAGATAATTTACACTTATTATTTCACTATTTTACTTATCACTATTATCACTATTATCTTTTCACTATTATTTCACTGTAGATCTCTTAAAAGAAATTTTTTCAAAGTACAGTAACCTTTTTTGTGCCAAATCTAGTTTTCGCTAACTACGATTTTTAATACTTTTTCCTGTGGTGAGGGGAACGACAAAAACAATTTTGATTTTTGAACACCTTTTTGTGTAATCTTCTCACAAATCTATTTTTTTTTCTTTTTTTTTTGCCAACACGACCACACACAAATTTTTATTGTAAAAACAATTTATTGGAATTTCTCATTTTTCTTCTGCCCTCTTATCTCTTATCTCTCATACAAGCTTTTGCAACAAGCTGTTGTAACATTGACCTCCCTGAAAATGCAATTTAACAACTGTCTCGGCCAATTTCAAAGAGCAAAAATATTTTTTTCAAAGAGCAATCTCAGGGACCACGCCTTGCAGCAAATGTTCTTATCACCTGCGAGCACATTCTTGAGCTAACACAACTTCTGAATTATCAATGAATAGAATATGATTTCTTTTCAACCAGCTGCAGTCGACCAATGCTCAGTTGTAGTCTCCGTCTACTAGTGAAAAAAAGAAAAATTGGAACAGAATGAACTCTATCTCTGATCCCTGAACCTTTAGCATACAATGATGTGTCTTCTTTTTTTAATTGTTACACCACAAAACTCAAATAACAAGGAAGTGTTTTTTATTCATTTTTCACGTTTTACCCTCTTCTGTCTCTTCGATTCCTCCACTTTGTAGCCATCAAAATCGTTATCTTTGCCGCCCAATCAGGCAGATATACGAGGGCAGGCGTCTCTCCTTGCGAAGGATGTGGGGGATATGAATTATCGGTTGCAACAAAACGGGGGGAGAAGAGTGTTGTAGGACTGTAGAGACAAAAGGTAGGAAAAGTATTCCCTGTCTTTTTTTCCTCCTTTCATTCACCAAAATTATTCCGGTTTGAAGTTTGTTGCATTTCTTTTTGTTTCTCACGCTGACTTTCCTTGTTCCTGGGTTTTATTGGGATTATACTAACTTCCTTTAAATTTTTAAGAGACTTGCTTTTTGATCAGCTGTAAACTAGAAAAATCGCTAACCTGAATTTCGCCCATCTTCATATGTTTATCTATTATCTCTAGTCATCACTTCACAATTCACTTCCCACTTCCGAATCGGGGGTTTGAGGTCAAATGAGAGAACAACAAAAGACATAAAAATTAGAAGAAGACGCAGAAATTGTTACAAGATTGAATACAAATTTTACAAGTTTCCATTGCTTTTTCAAAATTATACGCTATTTGGCCTGCGAGCAAAGAATTCTATATTTGAGTAGTAACTAGAGCCAATTTCATGGATATTACGTCAAAATAATTAAACTTGACCGGTGTTTCAAACTATGTGCCTTTGATGAAAGGGCAGTAGTATTACGAAGAAGCACCCATCAGAAAGCCAGAATTTTCTCTTCAGAAGACGTGTAGTGTTAGAAGAGAGGGTGTACGCCCCTCAGAATGCACGCTTCCGGCACCACACACCCCGACGCAGGGACCTCTGTCTTGTCCATCTCTTCTTTTTCTTCTTCTTTTTGCTCTGCTCTGCTATACTTTCTTTTTGCTCTACTCCTCTCTCACTTCGTCTTCTCTTGCGTGTTTCCCGTGTCTATCAATGTCTGAATGCATGGATGTGTCGTATAAATATTCTGTATTAGTCTACAATGCTCAGGACAAGAATTTTTGAAAATGAAATATTTTTCGACCTTCCTATAGTTTTTCGACCTTTAATAGTGTACAAAGTATTCCAGACGTTTTCTACTGCCTTTTTTAATTTTGTGCCTTATCAAAAATGTTTAGTTCCTCTTCCTTATCAATTGCGTCTACCTTTTGTGTACGTTTAAATGTTACAAACAGTAAAAACACGCAGACACATACAAGGAAAATCGAGAAAAAGGAGAACAATATTGATTGAATAACTGAAAAAAAAGTGTATTTAATTCTGTCTTCTTTCCATCCATCCGTCTCCTGTTTCCTGCCTTCATTTTTTTTTTCATTCGCTGGTATATATCTATCACACACATTATATTATATAACATGTGGCAAAACCAGACTGGCAAAACAGCAGGAGAAGAAGGGGGAGAACAAAAAATATACATGTATCAATTTTTTCTTTTTTTTTCTGCTTTTTGAAAAAAATAATCATTGTTTTTTAGCATTTTCTTGAGAGTAGAGATTTGTTGCTTTCAAACTGATCATTATAATTTTTATTAACTGTAGGATATAATTAATCTAGACATTCGTACATAAGACGTATTTTCCAATGGATTTTCGGCCATTCGAACATTTTCAGGAATATGAAGCTCGGCTGTCAAGTTTCCGAACACTTTGAAATTTTTGTAGGGTCTAAACAGGGCTAGATCAAAAGTTTTATACTTACAAAATTTCTTGAAAATCCCTAGTTTTTCAGCTTTTAGCCGATTTTTGAAAGACGCATTTTTTCACGTTTTAAGTACAAAAACAGGCCAAAAAAGGTGTGTTCCAGAAATCGGAAAATATCTGAAAAAACTAGGAATTTTCAAAAAATTCTGTAAAAGGCAAGTTTTTAATCTTGGTCTGTTTCACATTCTTTCAAGTTTTCATAGTGATCTGAAATTCAACAGCGGAGCTTCAGACTCCTGAAAATGGTTAAAATGGCCAAAAATAACTGAAAAACACATTTTAATCAATTTCATGAACTGGTACTGTAGACGTTTGGTTTTTTATCATTGTGAATTGTAATTAATCTTGTTATCTTGATATAAATATCTCATGAATGTTTTTTTTTGACAATTCATATTTTTCAGAATAGCCCGGCTTTGGCGTGTCCTGCGCCAATCTTCGCCCCAGCGCCACAGCGCGGTTCCCCCTGGTCGGCATCTTTGGGCTCGCCCCAACCACTTGTCACATTCAACAGGTACCTACCTCAACCAAAATATTGTTGATCTGATTCTCTATTTTTCAGCCCCACCGGTCTTTCATCATCTGGTCCGTCGGCGTTCACAGCGGTCTCACCGACCAACCCGGCCAGCTCACTGACAACATCAACGGCCACCATCTACGATCAGTTAATGTGCATACCGAAACTGTTGCAAGAGATCTCGAACAACAATCATAAAGTCCTTCGGACCAGGATGAACAATACCGCCTACAAGCCGATTCCGAATAGTGAGAAGTGAGTTGGACCCATATCTTTTTTTATATGAATTCAAATTTTTTAGAGTCGATCTTGCTCGATTTCGGGTGAAAGACCCCAATGAATGGTTATGCGACGATGTGATGGCCTGGGTTTTGGATGTCGCCAAACGGCACAATATCCCTTTTGACCAATTGAATCTGCATGGAGTGAGTTTTCATATTTTTTTTTCCTATTTATTTATTTTTATAACTGATCAAAGTTCAGGTTTTAGAAGGCGGAGGAATTGTTGATATTGTTCTGGCGAACAAAGGTTGTATTTTTGGCAGATCATTCCATTTTCTTGCTCTGTGAACACCTAGTCGTCATTTCATAAAGATTAGGAATCAAATTTAGCGTACTAGAAAATTAATTATTCCGCTAGCCCGCGCGTACGTAAGAAAAAGAAAATTGGGTTTGTTAGAGCGCAGGTGAAAATTTCAACGAGTTTAAGCTCTACGCCGCCCGATTTCCTATGATATCAAAATTGGATTAGTGTTTGAAGTGTTGCTCACTGGTCAGCTAGTTCTGGCATTTTAAATGGAATGAATACATAACATCTTTTTGAGACCGATTTCAAGGGCAGCAAATTTTCTCTTCAATCTTAAATTTTAAAAAATTCTTTTTTTCAGTTCTCAACGGTTTCCGGTCAAGAGATGCGATTAATGAGCGAGCAGGCATTTATTGAGAAAGATAGCTCGAATGGAAATTTGATTTTCAACGAATTCCGAAAATTCGTTATCAATGCAGGTGAGCCTGGCTCAGAAGCCTTTATGGTTTATGACCACTGACTTTGATAAGACAGCAGAACATTTCTCAGAACTGGTCAACAAGAGTTCACGTGTAATTCAAGAACGATTTCAGATGTCTTTCAACAGTTTATTGTTTTGAATCAGGACTACTGATTTACTATTTTATTTTGAAAAAAATTTCAGAAGACACCACTCTGGACACAGTGATCAGTAAATTCGTCGATGATGAAATTGCAACTACAAGTGCATCAGCGCAGTGCATCGATATGTCCTCTTTGGGATTAACACCAATGATTAGCAACATCACATCTTCGATCCAACCACCAATACCACATCCGGCTTCACAGCTTGGCCAACTTCCGGTCATGCAACATCAGTTGAACAATTTGAGCAGTTTGACACAAGTACTAACCCAACAATCATTCAACCCAACAATCCTGACGCCTCAGCAGACCGCCAACGCCGTTCAATCGCTTAACCAATCGCTAACCCTCAACAATCCCTTGAATCAATCTCTGGCTTCGAGTCTTGCCGCTGGATTGACAAGCGGTCTTAGTCCACTGGGCGTCAATTATTTACCCAATGGCTTGAATCCGACGTCACCTCTTCTAGCGACCCAAATCCCGCAGCCCAAGATGTCACCAATGCTCAAATATTCGTGCTCGATCAACTCTGAATACGAATGTGAGTTTCTTCAGTTTCCTCATGTTTTATTCACAAATATCATTTCTATTTTTAGTACCCGAAGAGAGGTCAGCAGAGAGCTGTGATCTGAAAATCAAGAAAAACAAGGATGGCAAGCCGAGAAAACGCTCGCAACACACCAAGGGAAATAAATTATGGGAGTTCATTCGTGATGCGTTGAAGGATCCATCAACGTGTCCGTCTGTAGTGAGGTAAGCGCTTCTGAATATTAAATAGTGATTAAGAATCTTCAATGAGAATCACATCATGCTATACACACAATTCTTTTTCAGATGGGAAGACCCGATTGAGGGAGTATTTCGTATAGTGGAGTCCGAGAAGCTTGCCCGATTGTGGGGCGCTCGAAAAAACAATGAGAAAATGACATATGAAAAGCTCAGTCGAGCAATGAGGTAGCTTTATTATCATTAACACATCAAACCATAAAATTTCGTTTTTCAGAACCTACTATGAAAAGCAAATACTGGTCCCCGTTCCTAAAACCGGTCTTTATCCTAAAAAGTTGGTTTACAAATTCGGACCAGGTGCACATGGATGGGAAAATGTAAAAATCGAACGAATGTAAACGGTGAGCTTTAGAGCATCCACTTTTCATTGAAAATTCTATTTTCAGGTTCCAAAGAAGCGTCTTTAAAAAAATCAAAACTCAGCAGAAAAATCCTCAAAATGATCTCATTTGGTCCTATTAATTAATAAGCGGTATTTTTTGTAGTGTCATGGGAACACAATTATTTAATATGGTTTTTTCTCTTTTCTTCTGTTATCCTTGTTATCATCATCATCATCATTCAGTTCTACAGACTTCTAAGAATTCGAATTTTGTGATTTCCAAATTTCCTTATCAACTTGGTTCCTAGTAGTCATACTTTGTTTTTTCCCGCCCCGTTTTTTTTTCATTTTTTGTCTTCTTTTGTCTCTCTCTCTCTCTCTCTCTCTCTCTCTCTCTCTCTCTCTCTCTCTCTCTCTCTCTCTCTCTCTCTCTCTCCTCTCTTCTTCTCATCTCCTTTTTCTTAATTGGTCCTTTAAATTCTCCTCCACTCCCAGTCAATTCAGCGTCATTAAAAACTTATTTTCATTTTCTTTGTATATTAATAACATTTTCGTTCAAAAACTGTGTTTCCATTGGTTCTCCATAAAAAAATGAAACTTGGTTAAATTTTTATTACATTTAAAAAATGAAATTCGTTGTGACACGAGTAATTGAAGTGAATTTTGACAATGTAGCACCAAAAATGAAGGCTACCCATTCAGAAAACACAGTTCAAGCCATGAAAACACACAGAACAAGGAGATATGGGCAAAAAAAATTATGTAGGAGTCACCAAAATTTTTGAACTTAAAAAGGGCACATAAAACGGAGGGTACAACCATTCGGGGGTACAATAGGGTACAGGGGGCACACTATCTGCGATTCGGCGGTACGAAATTCGATTTTTCAGGTATTTTATACTCCCGAATTAAGAATTTTCAGCTCCTCAATAGGTTAATACCTAAAGGACCCCTAATTTTTCGTACAATCCACAGTTTTCATTACAAAAAGAGAGAAAGAGAAAATAAGAAAAAAGCAGTATTACCGAGAATTAGTTTTTTTTTCAATTTGAAGAATATTTACAAACCTGGGACAATTAAGGCTCTGAGACATTTCGCCACCTCCCATTGCGCTACCATACCTTTTGCTAGTAATACAGGCAAATGGATAAGTTTCAAACAATACAAATAGTTTCAGGGTTTTATAATCCGTTTTTTTTTTGAATTTACACTATCTGAAATTCAAAAATTCAAACACCGTTTTGAAAAAATTCGAAAAATTAAAATTAGAGTTTTTTGACTTTCAAATTCCGCACTACTGTATCAGAACAAACATATAAAAAAACTCCTTCATTATTTTTATAGTTTAAAACCTATCCATTTGCAAGTGTATATAATGGTACCGAAATGTCGCAGTTACGAAATGTCTCGGAGCAAAAATTACAATTTAAACGTTTGGGATTAATCGATGAATGAGAAGCGAAACAAAGACCATTAGAGCATGTAGCGTCTCCTACGGGCTAGGAAGCTGTTTCTCGCGTTTTGGAAATTCGCGTTTTGCGGAACGACGAACTCGCAGGAGAGGAAGTAGAAGTAGGTGACTTTCTCCAATTCCGGCGCAAGGGTGATGATGAAGATCATCTGGCACAAGACACAGAACCACTGGCTGGTAGCAGAAATTTGGTGCATTTTGAAACCCTGGAAACGAGTTTTCGAATCATTGTTTAAAACGAACAAAACACATACTGGCTGAGTTCGGTTACATGGTGGAGGAGTTGGAACTAATGGGAAGACCGCTTGGAACTGGTTAATTGCAATAATTTCGCAGGTCACAGCTGAAAAACGAAGCTCATTTTGGATGATTTGATAGGTGAAGGGGCATCAATTATATTTTTTCTCGATTTTTCGTTTATAGAAAGTTTCAGTGCTTTGAGATCGAAATATTGAGGGTGCCACGCCTCTACTGGCTGAGCTACAAGTACAAAAAATGGGCTGCCTAACGGTAGTCTCCTCAGAAAACTGTCCTTAAAAACGTTTAAAAGACTTACTTGAAATAAAAAAGATGACCGTCAACCAAGTCATGTACAGGCGGGTGTAATAAATGCTTTTCTTGATGTATCCCTGGTAGACGAAGTACGAGATATACGACTGGATAATCATGTAAACTGTGAATCCTCCAAACGCCATGTAAATGCCAACTTTGTGAACGGTGACACATGCGGTTTCCTGAGAAATATTTTCATTAATTTTTTTTCTCAAAATTTCTAATTTTAGATTTTTCGATACCTAGATTATAAGATACAGCTGTTCCTGGATATCTTGTTTACCCGAGTTTGAAATCCAGAATTATTAGATTTCTAAACGTTCCAAAAATGTCCTAATCACATGCAAATGAAAATTTTTCGCTTTTTCTGAAATGGTCTTAAGATGGACCGCCAGCTCCATCGTAGGAATGCCGGTCCCTCGATAACGGTCCCAACGTTCCGACCATTGTCCCATTAAGTACCAACGTTCCGGAAACGCTTTAATATTGATAACAAATCACAATGAAAAGTGTATTAAGTACTTTAATCGGAACGTAGGGGACCGTGAGCAAAACAATAGTAAATTGTTGGGACTGGCGTTCCAATGATGGGACCGGCGGTCCCAGCTTGAGACCGTTGTTACCGGAAAGATCCAAAATCTTCAAACAATTTTTCAAACTTTGATACTTCTAAACTCTTAGGGCAGTATGGTTTAGAAACCTGTGTTAGTTGGCGTTTGAGATATATTTTGAACCCAGTGGGTGAAGCGTTTTTAACGTGCCAGTATTTAACGTGCCAGTGTTTCTGGAAATTCTAATGACTGATAATTCATACAATTTCATCGAGAGCACCTGAACATCTATTTCTGGGTTTAGCTTATGTCCCAAGTTTTGATCGTCGGTCTCAAAAAGATATCCCCGGCCCATAGATCGTACAAGCGGTATCAACATTATGTCATGGTCCTATCTCTCTGAGTATGGTCCGATATCTCTGTACATGGTCCCATTTTTCGAGCATGGTCTCATCTCCATTTCTCTGAGAATAGTTCCATTCCTCTGAGCATGTTTGTATCCCATGATCTGAGCATGATCTAATTTCTTTGTGCTTAGTCCCATTCCTCTGAGCATGGCTTATTTTTCTGAATATCGTTCCATCCCTCTAAGAATGATCCAATCCCTCTAAGCATGGCCCTACTCCTCGTAGGATGGTTGCCCGTTGCTCTGAGCATGTTCCTATCCCTCTGGGCATGGTTCTATCCCCTCTGAGAATGGTGCTATCCTTCTGAGCAAGGTTCCATCTCAATAAGCATGGTCCCATCCTTTTCAACATGGTCCCATCCCAGTGAGCATAGTACCATTCCGTTGTGATTAGTTAAGTTCTTCGGAGCATGATACCATCCCTCTCAGCATGGTCCCTTTTTTCTGAACATGGTTCTATTTTTCCGAGCAGGGTCTACCCCTTTGAACACGGTCTCATCCCGATGAGCATGTTCATATCCCTCTGGGCATGGTTCTATCCCCTCTGAGAATGGTGCTATCCTTCTGAGCAAGGTTCCATCTCAATAAGCATGGTCCCATCCTTTTCAACATGGTCCCATCCCAGTGAGCATAGTACCATTCCGTTGTGATTAGTTAAGTTCTTCGGAGCATGATACCATCCCTCTCAGCATGGTCCCTTTTTTCTGAACATGGTTCTATTTTTCCGAGCAGGGTCTACCCCTTTGAACACGGTCTCATCCCGATGAGCATGTTCATATCCCTCTGTGCATGGTTCTATCCCCTCTGAGAATGGTGCTATCCTTCTGAGCAAGGTTCCATCTCAATAAGCATGGTCCCATCCTTCTCAACATGGTCCCATCCCAGTGAGCATAGTACCATTCCGTTGTGATTAGTTAAGTTCTTCGGAGCATGATCCCATCCCTCTCAGCATGGTCCCTTTTTTCTGAACATGGTTCTATTTTTCCGAGCAGGGTCTACCCCTTTGAACACGGTCTCATCCCGCTGAGCATGGTCCTATCCCTCGGAGCATGATCCCATCTCTCCGAGCATGGCCTTATTCCTCTGAGCATGGTCCTGTCTCTCTGAGCATGGTTCTATCACCTCTGAGAATGATCCTATCCTTCTGAGCAAGGTTCCATCTCCCTAAGCATGGTCCCATCCTTTTGAACATGGTCCCATCCCACTGAGCATAGTACCATTCCGTTGTGGATGGTTATATCCCTCTGAGCATGATCCCATCTCTCTGAGCATGGTCCCATTTCTCTGAGCATGGTTACATCTTTCCGAGCAGGGTCTACCCTTTTGAACACGGTCTCATCCTGCTGAGCATGGTCCTATACCTCTGACCATGGTTCCACCTAATCTTTTAAGTTTAGCCCATCATGCGCCAACTTGGAACCCCCTTTTCTAGAATGGATCCTCATCTCTTACCTGCACATTAGCGACAATGAACCATCCAATACCGGAGAACCATCCAAGCCATCTCGAGATTTGATTCCAAACGATGAAATGAACTTTTCCATCAAAAGTCGACAATGTTCCAATCACCTGCTTGTACCTTTAAAAGATACAATTCACCTCAGCAAACATTCATATCTCTTACCGAACGTAGACGACTACCATCAGAAAGAAGGAGATGATGTTGGTGAACATCGAGAAAATGCATGACTGTGGACGATTATCAGCAGAAGTGGTAATAAATGGGAGCGCTTCGTCAATCTCACCATTGAGAACAGAGACCACATAGACGAGGGCTGGAATATTGGGTTTTTGAGGTACAGGGACAGTTATGGCAAACTCACCTGTTTCCGCGAAAAACAAGACACCAATAGATACTGGAAGAAGGCCAAAGCCCGCTTTACCCATACCCCAAAGGGTCTCCCAAAGCATTTTTGGTTTTAGGAACGACTTATTTCACGAAATTATACAGAAAAGTGGGGAAGACAATGGGAGAGACACAGGGGAACAAATGGGAGAAACACTGAATGATTCTAACAGGCTCTGGGGGGATAGGGGAACAACGAATGATTAGTCATTCCCATTGGGATGGGGTCTCGTGAGGAAAAAGTGGGAGGAGCATGTAAATTTGCAAGAAACAATAGTAGTGACTCATATTAATGCTTCTTATTCATCAGAAAAGCAATCAAAAATGTGCAAAAATACAAATCATGAGGTAGAAATGCAAAATATAATTGTTTTGCATCATTCTTTGGGGGGGGGGGGGGGGGGGGGTGATATCAGAGAAATTGAAAAATAACAAAGTCAGAGAACTCACATGGAATAGAACCCATTTAGAAATTACCAGAAAGAAGTGACATGAAAAAAGGCACAAAGATAATGAAAACCAGGTAAAGCTAAACGTCAGGATACAGGTTTCTATGATGGAATAGGAATGAATTATGAAAAGTTAGGATTTATGCACAACGGGGAGGAATATGCTAATCAAGGAGAAATCAAAATCAAAGAATTATGGCAAAAAGAGAGATGAAACAATTGGCACCATAATTTTGAGCAGGTTTACGGTCTGTCATGAAAATAGATTCTATGACGGCGCTGAAAGCGGCGGTCCTCTTCGTCTTCTTCGTACTCGACGAGCGGAACGTCGTCTGGCTCAGCAGAGTTGATCTCGTTCTTCCCAATGTAGCCAGCCGAATAGATGTCTTCGAATTCTGGAGTGAACGATTGCATGAAGATGATCTGAGAGAAAGCGCACAACCACTCAGCAGCCGCAGAGATCTGATGGTATCCGTATCCCTGAAGATAACAAATAATTGTTTCTTTTCAAGAATTGTTAAAAATTCTCTCACCGGTTGGTAGATTTTGCGCGACCAAGGACGGGGAGTCGGCAAATCCGGGTAAACGCTGTGGAAAACTCTCGAGGCAATGATTCCAAACGATAGTCCTGAAAAATTTAAACATTTTTTACACATATTTAAAAACACATCATCAATCTGGAATCAGTGCAGAAACAAGTTATTCTTAGGACTGCTCATAAATTTTCAAAGTATTGCCGTTTTCCGAAGCCGCGATGAAATTTCAGGGACCTTCGGAGTTTAAGCTGAGTTCCGGAGCTAAAACTAAAACATCGTGAGGAGGTGAAGCTAGAATTCATCAGAAGCTGAAGAAATTATCTGGAGCTAACACAAGAAATCGTTAGAAGATGTAACCAGAAGTCATCGGTAGCTGAAGAAAGAGACCCTAACTGAATTAGGAAGCATTCAGAAGCCGGAAAGCGCTTCGGGCAAGCTAGGATTCTAAGCTGAAACTAGATGTCATCCCGAGCTAAATCTAATACTCTAACCTAAAACTAGAGAACGGTGAGAATCTGTGGCCAGAAGTCACCAGGAGCTGAAACTATCATCTGAAGCTGAATCTAGAACTCCATCTGGAGCTAAAGTCGGAAGTCATTAGTAGCTGAAGCAAAGAGCTGTAACTGAATTGAGAAAAAAAAAGAACCTAAAATTTGGTCAAGACTTAGACCCGAAATTTATAGAAATCTGAAATTACTATCTGAAACTGAGCCTAGAGTCCAAACGGAAGCTGATATCAGAATATCTGTAGATTGGCTTCAAAGGTTGAATTGGAAGTCGGAGAGCATCAGTACCTGAAGCTAGGATGCAAAACAAAAACGAGAAAATCTTGTAACTTGAAAGAATTGTCAGATGATGAATCTAGAACTTGATCGGGAACTGCTTTAGTAGCTGCTGATAGAGGTGGTTTCAGAAAAGAAGTCTCGGGATTCTTCTAGGATTCAAAGCGAAAACTACGAAGTCAAGCTGAATATGAGGCTCGATGGGGAGCTGAAGCAGGAAAATATCCGTTGCTGAAGCTGAGCTCGAAAGCTGAAATAAGACACCGTTCTGAAGCTAAAATCTGAAGCTACAATCTGAAGCTTAATCTAGAATTTGATAAGGAGCTGAAGCTATAATGAGAAATACACCAGAGCTGTAGAAAACAACAGTAGCTAAAGCTAGGATACAAAACTGCAACTAGAAGACGCCAGGAGCTGAATTGGAGAATGTCAGAAGCTAAAACTATGATCTGACGCGTTAATCACAATCTCGCTGGGGAGCTGAAGCCGGAAATCATTTGAAAGTAAAGACTGAAATTGAAACAAGAAGGAGTCAGAAAATGGAAGGCGTGCAGGGCTAAATATAGAATCCGAGACTAAAACAAGAAGTCATCCTGAGCTGTATCTAGAATTCGAATGTAAACTAGTAGTTGTTAGGAGATGTAGCTTGAAGCCATCGGTATCTGAAGCTAAAACTGAAACTAGAAACTGACAAGAGCTTAATCCGAAAATCACCAGAAGCTAAAACTACAATCTGTAACTGAATTTAGAACTCAATCGGGAGCTGAGGCCAGTACCTATCAATACCTGAAGCCAGGAACTAGAGTTGAAACAAGAAGTCAGAAGCTGAGACCGGAAGACTAACCTAGCTAAAACTGGGATTCGACGCTGGCGCTAAGAGTCATCTGGAGCTGCTGCTGATCAACTTCAAAATAAAGTCATTTAACGCTGCCTTATCCAACACAGATCACAGATATATGTCCATCGTTTCTTCGATTCACTTTCGGGAGACAGCTGATTGATTTCTGCGGGAGAAAAAAAACTCACCAACAACGAAAAAGATGGCCGATAGGACAGTGAAAACCAGTCGGAAGCGGAACACAGTGATGACAGTGATAACTCCAGTGAATTTATGGGTCAGATAGCACTGGAAAATCATGAAGATTGTGAATCCACCAAAGGCTAGAAGAGCACCAGTGATGTGAAGAGGGATGATAGCTGTTTCCTGCAAATATTCGATTGTTTCACACTTTCGAAAATTTGTTAGTTACCTGGACATTGGCCACTATGAACAAACCAAAAGCCGAGATATATCCCACTAAGCTTGCCCAGGTATTCACACAAAACAATTTGTTCTTCCATGCCCGCCAATCGTCATCGTATGTATTGAGAACGTAATCGATTTGGGTTTGTCTGAAAGCAAAGTTTAAGAAGATGATTCTGGCAATGAATTAATACCGGACATGAACCATCACAGCGATTAGGAGGCTACTGATGTTTGCTCCCATTGCAAAGATACAGGATTGTGGCTGTTTGTTGGCCGCAGATGAGATGTATGGCAGGACCGCATCGACGTCTTTTTTGAGAACCGCGATGACGTAGACGATGACTGAAATATATTTATTTCAGGAGTTTTATATTCTGAGAAGAGTGCCAAAGCTCTACACTTCACGAAAATTCTTGTTTCTGGAAATTCCAGTTATTTCAAATCCACCATAAGACAGCGGAGGAACGCCCCTATCTTTTCAAGTTGGGCCAATTTTTCTCGTTTTCTGTTTTCCACAGAAACCAAGATGAATGAAAATGGGTTTTTGTCCAAACGAGTCGGTTTTGACCCTAAGGTTCTCAATTTTTTTGACCAAAAGGTCTAGCCCGCTCTTAAAGAGGCACTCATTCTAAAGCCTCAAAAATTGAAAACTCACTCATTTGCACCGCGAAGATAAGTCCGATGAAGGTTGGCACAGGTCCAAAGCCTAATGGTGGCCGGCCCAGTCCAAGCATTTCTGAAGTTCAATGAAAAGTGTACGGAACGGATAACTAAAGCGATCAAAAACAAAAATTGGTCATCTAGAAAAGATGGATGGGGGGGGGGATCACGTGAAACGACGACTTTTTTTTCAAAAAAAGAGTGTTTGTTTATGTGTTCTGATTTCCTATCTACAATTTGTAGCTGATAAAAAAACGAAAATAACGGAAAACTGAGAAGAAACAAGAACTAAAGTGAGAAAATCGGAATCAAACATTTTGAAAATTATGTTCTCTAACGTTAGCAATGTTTTTACCAATTTTAACCAATAATTTTTATTAAATTCTGTTCAGGTAAGCTTTCAAAAAATTTAGAATCCAAAAAAACCTAGAAAAAGCGCCTAATTCTAAAAATAACTGATTATAAAAGCAGAATGGGCCCAAAAAATTATGGATAATCATGCGCGTACGCTTCGATGCTTCGAAAGTCCGTAACTGTTTTGAATAGCTGTGTAAACACACACTCTCGCGCGCGCGTTCCCCCCACGTGACCCGTATTCGAATGGAGGACAAGAGAAGAGGAAGAAAGAGAAAGGTGTCTGCCGAGGAGAGAAACAGACGGCGGGGGAAGAGTAGGTCGGGGAGTCTCGAAAAACACAACACAATGTGAAAGGCTAGACAACAGATGTGTTTGGCAGACAGCACAACTCACGTGTACTTGTGAGGGGATTAGGTACTCAGAGAGATAATAAACGCCTCCTTGGCAGAGACAAGATGCAAACCATCACATTAGAAGAAAAAAAAATAACAAGAGTCAATGAAAGATGCTAATATGGTTGGCGCGCCTTTGACGCTATTTCGACGCTCCCCTTTTTTTGCTTTTCGAGACTAAGATTCAGACTTGTCAGACCCAAAAAAAACGGAGTGATGCATATAGAAAAACATAGAAAAGAGAGTTCATTTATTTATTATGGTAATGGTGATATTAGAATTTCGAGAATTTATGGAAACAGAACAACCTGTTTTGAAAACCAGTATCATAATTGTATCATAGTATCATAAAAAAGCAGTATCATAATTGTTCTTTTAATTGGAACAACTACAAATGCATTGCAGAAACTGTCATCAAAAGTTCATTGCGGAGAAATGCTGTTTGTTGATAAAAATGCCTTAACTACCGTAGTTCTTCAATTAAATGCTACATTCGCACTTTGATCCAATTTTTCTCGATTTCCAAGAGTGATATCAAAAATCTGTCAAATGTGAAAATGTTGGGGATGTTATGAAAAATATTAAATTAGTTGGCATATTTTCGAAATCTTTTTTCAAAACCGAAATAATTGTATACAACGTTCAACAATAGAAAAGTCGTCATACTCGAAATGTACGTTAACGAAACAAATATCATTTGAGAAAAAAAACAGTCAAAAATCGAAATGATATAATAGAAAAGTGAGCAGAGTTAGTGGTATTACTGTAATACGTTTAATTATAAGAGGAATTCGAAAAAATTGAGTTGTGTTTTGTGGGCCACAGTGGGTTTCTTATGTCTACGAAAGTGCTTATCACTTATCCGTTTCATCTAAAAGTTTCAGAGAGTATAAACAAATTATGAAATTTCATTTTTGTAGTTGACGACTTTTTTGTACAACCACTTGCTGGAGAGATACATCACGTCAAACAGATAAAATCTCACAATTTTAAATTTCTCACTGAAGTTGGAGAAAAAAATTGGGTACAAGTGCTTCAAGCACCTTATCTTCTTGGTAAGCAATTGTACGAAAAAGTAGTCAACTACAAAAATAGATTTCTATTTTTGTTTTATAATCCCAGAAATTTTTAGACATAACGTCCAAGTGATAAGTACTTTTGTAGATAACCAACGTTGACAATTTTTCAATTATTTGGTCATTTGAAAATACAATTTTGGCCACCACTGCAGGAAAAATCGTCAAGAATGATTTTGTTATCGTTTTCAGTTCTACTCGAGCTGAGAATTTTCAAAATTTTCAGCCGCATAGAGATAAAATGGCATTATCAATGCTCTATTAGCAATTCTTATGTATAACCCAAATGAATACGGAAATTCTTGAATTATTTTGAAATTTGAGCAACACTTTTTCCAAGGAAACAAAATTCCCAGTTATGCATTACCGTATTTACCGGGTGTGCATCCTTGAAAAAACAATAACTGCGTACAATACGGATTTATTATTTCAGCAAGATTACAAATTATATTACAGGACAGCGAAAAATAGACGGGGTTGAAAAAAGAGACAGAGTTTCAGAAATTTGTGGGTATTTTAAATACAAGAATTCAATTGGAACGAGGGTGCCAGAGAACTGAGAGAATGTGTGACGTTGTACCACCAAATACAGGGTTTCAGAGCACGAAAATGGACAATTTTTGGAAATTACTAAGACAGGGAGAGGAAGGGACAGGAGGAATGAGATGGAGAATTATATACCAGCAACTATAACATACTTTAGAATGTGGTGGTGAAAACTACGTTGGGAGGCATACAAAATATTGATTTTTTCTGATTAAAAAAAGTGATCGATGCAAGTGTGCAAAAGATTTCGTTGTAGAGGCAAAGGCGATTTCGAATCTTATATGATTTTAGGAGAATGTTTTTGGTAATATCCGATACGGAGTTTTCTCGCGATTCGGTGTTTTAAGGAGGTTTTTTTTTGAGATCAACGAAATAAATCAACTAAACAAAAAAAATCTGATCACGAGAAAAAAATGGGTTGTATGGCATGTTTTGACAACGTCAGAATTAAAAACAGTAGCTGAAATATCCGGTGACAGCAAAAAGTAAGATTTAAACAGACAATTAAACAATTAGTTTAGTGTTTATGAACACCGCACACAAGGAGGCGAATGTAGAGTGCTTCACGAATGTGACTGTTGTGCGCCTCGTAAATCTGCGATCCAAGAATCTCGACAGCACTTTGTTGGTCGTAGTTTATCGTGGTTGCCAAATGTACGAAGCTTTCTTCGGTCAGGATTTTGCTGAGGTGCTGAAATATTGGAATTATTCAATTTCTCGATTCAGATTAACTAACATCAATCAACTCCACATCCTGCTTATCAATTGCAAGGTGGACAATTGTTTTTCCGGTTCCGCATTCCTGAAATAATGTTATTTTTTGAAAAACACTTTGGCATAGAAAAACCTGAACTCCTGGGTCGGCTCCTTTTTCCAATAGCATTGAGAGGACAGCTCTATTGTCAATTTTTTGATGAGTATCCTCATCAATCATTCCATGCATTTTAACAGCGCACATGAAAGGAGTTTGTCCGCCGTCGTTGCTTGAGTTGACATCGGTTTCTCTGCAGTTGAGCAGAGCCTGAAAAGATTTATTTGATTCTTGATAGTACAGTTCAACAAAATATACAAAAGTGCATTTTTGAGTTTATTTGTGTCTTATTTGAGCACTTTTCAGCAGTCAGGAACTCAGCTTCAAGTTTTCGATTATTTTCTGAAATTTTGGAGTGTGTAAAACAGATCTAAACTGATAACTTTGAATTCGCAGAAGTTTTTTTTTCAAATTCCTAGTTTTTCAGATGTATACCGATTTCTGAACAACACCTTTTTGGCTCATTTTTACACTGAAACGTGGGAAAACAGGTGTTTTTCAGAAATCAGCAAATAGCTGAACAACAGGGAAATTTTCATAAGATTCTGTGAATCAAGTTTTTAATTAAGATCTGTTTGACCCTATCAAAAATTTTCGATGTGATCGAAATCTTGACAGCTGAGCTCTAGCTTCCTGAAAATGATCAAAATCACCAAAAATCAACTTAAAAATACACTTTTTTGTATATTTTATTACTGATATTGTTGGTGATGTTATGAACAATAATTTAGCTACGACTGGGCTACAACCGGTTTAATTGAGCTACAGTAACTGCAATAATGGTTTGATATCAGCTGCGACTGTCTCTTGGGAGAAATTAGGGTTATTGCCATACTTGTAACGGGCCGGGCCGGGAATTTTTATTTTTCCTCAGGCCCGGCCCGGCCGGGAATTTTACAGGTATAGTTATTGCCGTTTTTTGGGCAAACATACGACGCCCTAACTTCCCCCTTTTGGGGGAAGTTAGGGCGTCGCCACCTTTTGAGTTAGCTTCGGCACCTTTTGGGCAAAAAAAACGTTTTAGGCAAACCCAAGGCAAAGGTAGAACCTGTTAGGCGAACCCAGGGCAAAGCCAGTCAGCTTTTGCTCTCGTTTTTGCCACCTTTTGAGCGCTGTTGGATCACCTTCTGGGAAAATCCCTAGCGGAATTTGGCCAAACATCACCCAAAAGACGACAGTCGAGGTACCAATTTTTTCCCAACTACGATAATCGTTCTCGCCTACAAGGTCGAACATCGGCAACACTACCGTTTCGAGCGTTCTTTGAATCTTATGCAACGTATTTTGTTGTTCTATTTTATCCACTTGTTTATAAATCCGCCGCCTACTTTCAAATCGCCACTCCCTTCTACCGTAATCCCCCGGTGAAAGGTCGTTTGAGTAGTTTTAAACCCCAAAACTCAGTGTATTACCCACTAATTTGCCTCGTATGGCGCCACCAGAGAATTCAACAGCTCAATTGAACTTTTGATTTAGATTTTTGACCTTATTGATAATTTACTGATCTAGATTCCGCTATATGTGATTTGTAGCAATAATTAATGCTACAACAACTACAAGATGGCCGATTTTGCTTCTCTGATTTTTAATCTTCAGGCAATCTCACGCAGAACTACTCTAATTTGTTTCCGGGTTTTCTAGGTCATTCTAGAAAAAGTGAATTTAAAAATTCGAAGAAAAGAGGTACAAAAAAACCGTATTTCCTCCTGCTGCAACTTAGAGCTCAATTATCTCAATTCCCGTTTACAATATCAAAAACTTGTCAACTGAGAAATTATTTATCAAGATATCACAAATATTTTATCAATTAAAAACTTTTTGAGTTGACAGTTAGCTTCTACTAGAGAAACTACAGTATCCTTTGTTTTACCTCATTTACATTAATTATGGTTACTGAATCATTTTACTAGGATTTCTTAACTCACCCTGACTATATTGACCATTCCACGAGAAGCAGCAAAATGAAGCGGAGTATCTCCAAGAGCACGACTGCTATGTCCGTTTGGAGAAGCGCCACATTCCAAGAAATATTCAACAAGCTATAAAAAAGTTGTTGGGGTCAATAAATTAATTTTAGGATTCACCTCAAGATTTCTCTGTATAACAGAAACATAGAGTGGTGTCTCGCCGTAGTTGTTGCAGACGTTGAACATGTTCTCCTCATTCTCATTGCTAGTCTTTTTCAGGGTCTCGCACAATCCGAAAATCTTTCCATGGTCATGATGAGCGACAACAATGTGGAGTGGGGTGTCACCATCAGAATCGCGGTTCTTCAGGAGGTCTCTGATCTGTAAATTGAGGGTTTTAATCTGAAATTCGTTCTTGAAAACTTACAATAGTGCAGCCCCAAAGTAATCCAGTTGCCTGATCATGTTCAGGGATGAGTGCCTGAAGGCGTTGTTTGGCAGTGACAATGCCATTCTCACTGGTGCGCGGGCTAAGATGCGTTTGGTTGTACGATGGCGTAGTAGGGCCACTGAAATAGAAGAATCGTTGGTCGTTCTGTCTTGTGCCCAGTGGAGAAAGCCCATGACACCTCTTAAGATCTTTCATCTCGTTTGCCGACCAGAAATGAAGACCACCTTAGGATATCAGGCCTAGGAGTGAATGGGATGTTCCCGGGGAATGCAGTTCGCAGTTAGCAGTTCGCCCCATTTTCTTCACGGAAACTTTTAGACACGGAACTCGACAAGAACCGGTTTTCAGGTATCTTCTTTTTTCCTTATCATGCCAAAAACAGTGTAAAACTAATCGGAATCGCGCGTTCGACGTAGGTAGGTAAGTGGCGATTCAATTTTTGCAGATAGCACGATTCGAAATAACAAACCTTGCTTGATACCATTCGTCTATCATAGAACCGCCGTTGAGAGTCTACCTGTGGGATATGTTGTTTAAATTAGTTTTCTGCAGGAACCGGAAAAATAGTGTGAAGATCAAAAAATAGAAGAAGAAACACGACAAAAGCAGAGGGGGGGGGGGAGTATGAAACGCGCGTAGGAGAACTGAATAAGAATACAACAAGGAAGTAAAAAGCCGCGCGGGGGCCCCTAGTGCAGATATAACACGGTTTGATTTGACCTCGAGAAAAAACAGTGTTTTGGACGGCGGGTAAAAATGGCTATGGACGGTAGAAACTATGCAGCCGAGGAAAAAAACGAAGCTGCTAATTTTCCATGTTATCCAATCTATCTGGGAGGAGAAGACAGAGAATCGCCCGCAGCATTTCCGCGCGGGACAACGATCTTTATCATGATAGGGCGACCCTTTTCACCGTAACCCTACAGTAAAAAAAGCCCCAAGATTGACCGATCGGAATTTGAGCTTTGAAACTTTCAAGATTGGATTTTAAATTGAAAAAAATTGTGGTAGGAAAATTGTTCTAGATGAAACAAAAACAAAAATTCTCGATTTTTTGAACTCGGTTGCTCTATGGGTCGAGTCTCTAAAGAATGGTTTTGGAAGAAACACTGATTGTTGGTAATCAGTGAAACTCAAAGGGTGATAACTGAGAGGCTCGTTAGTTCGAAACTATACGAATGATAACCGTAAAAAAGAAGAAATCGAGAACTGAAGTTTGATTGTATATGAGTAGACCTACGGTCAAGGTGGTGACTGGAAATGAGAACTTTTCTATAGGTTTCGTCATATGATTCGTTTTTAATGATTTACTGCAGGTTCTAGAATGTCTTCTAAAATGCCATTAAGAAACTTATTACAAATGATCTATGGTACTAGAGAATAGAGTATTTCAGAGTATGGATGTCGCTGAGCCTTGGGTTTTTAGACAAAAATAAATCAAAAAATTACGCGAAATTCATGACATTTGGGCTCACCATGTCAACTCAAAAATCCGAAAATTCCTCGTTTCATAGATAGAAAACCGTATACACTATTATAGAGTTCTACCCGAACCGTCAACTTTGGGCCTATCTATCTCATTTTCTGTAAAAGATATCAAAAATATGTCAACAGATAAACTGCTTGTAATATTGTGGTGAACAATTTATCAGTTAGCAACTTTTTTTTCTCGGACAGGAACCGAAATGATTCAGCTCAAAGTAAAAGCTCTGGGTGATCTTCTATTCTTGGAAATACGGTATAAACTTCAAGGATAGTTTTTTTATGGAATGACTAAAAGTTTTAAGGGCATTATGTTTTATGGTAATTCTATTGAAGAGACCATAAGAATAATTACAGTAGTTTCAAAACTATGATCAATAAAATTTTAAGTTTGATAATTTCAAATAAATCCTTCATGAAGCTGCACTAACGTTACCCCAATTTAAAAATTCAAGCTAATATAAAGGGCTCTAACTATATAAATCTGAAATATATAGTTGACTAGCCCCTATATGATTCTTCCTATGAGGAAACGTTGATTCGCAAAATTATGTTTCTACCACGCGACTACCGTAACCCTATTTGAATTTTTGAATGGCTTATGAATGAAAGGTTTAAACCTGACTGTGTGGATGCTTCTAGAATGTTTATTGTTCATAAAGCTTCACAAATCTTCACCGTAACACAGAAGAGAAAAGCATGAGCTGTTTGATGCTACAGTATCCCCATTAAATTAGGATGTGGTGATTTTCAAGGGTGATGATAAACAAACCAAAAGAACAAATGCAAGATACAAAACTTTAAAATTAGGAACCTCGTGGCTAAATGTAAGCTCTCTTGGTTTTTGACTACCTGTTAGAAGAGAAATGAAGTTTGTTATCAACTTCATCAGAAAATCGTACTATTCTTGACGCGCGTAATAATTGTGTGAGTGGAGTTGTTATGAAGCTACAAAAATTTCCCTGAAAACAAAAATGCTGAGAGGCTAGATATCAACATCAACCTATCCCCCATCTCCCTAGATACCTCCCTAACCTATTATATTCTTGCCGAGTCACGCGCTTTTTCTGGCTTTCCAAGATAAAAAACTATCGATTCCCTGAAATTTCTTACCTGCAGGTTCCTTGTGGGACTTGTGGAGATGCATTGGGTGCCGAACGAGCCGACATTGGGGAGCAGACTCCCGAGTCGGCGCTTGGAGGGCGTCCCTTGACGCTGTCCTCTCTGGTGTACTGATTTGAGTATTGCAAAATGAAGTCCTGCAGGTTTTCTGGCAATTCGTTGTTCTCCGGAGTCAAAACACGAGAGGTGTCTGGAAGATAATCATCAGATACTGATACCAATAGATAGTAACTGTCTGAGCGGCGTTTGACTATTGGAACAGTCCTGGATCATAAAAAGAGAATATTGAAACTGCATGGCACATAATTCGGAGGGTACAAAAATTTTGGAGTCATTAGAGTACAAAGCAATTCAGAAGTACAAAGTACTCAATTCTGGGGTACAAAATACCTGTAAATAGTATAACGTTGTACCCCTGAAGTGTGGCTTTTGTACGTTTGAATCACTTTGTACCTCGTTGTACTCACGAGTCGCTATACCCGCCGAGTTATGTGCCAAACTGCACGCATACCTTCGGGATTATACCGAATTTTGAACAAATTCGGTTAGTTTAGGTTCGAAAATCGAAATTGGAAAAGGAGAATATGCGATTGTTGTGTATTTATCGAATCCGATTAGAGACGACACCAACGTATTCTACCTTTTCACTTGATATCCGAACCGCCACGTTTTTCCCCTTTTTTTTGTCAATGTGTCCATTTATTGTGTGTTATCCCCGAATGAGAATCGAGAGTGAACTAGTGGAAAGGGTACAGTACACAAATTTGGAACACACACACAAACATAATGAAATTTCCATCTTTGAAAGTTGAATTACTCTACCCGATCCTAATATTATTAGGAATCATCGAAACAGTGTACTATCTATTATGCCTACTATCTATTAGTGCAAAGAGGAGAACATCCGTTCCTTGACCAGCGAACCAACGCGCAATGTTTCTAGTTTGGTCTTTTCATTTATTGTTATTATGTTGAGGACGAACTGACCAGCCGAGGAAATCTCCGAGAATGGGCTATCCTTTGGACTAATCTGCTGAGGAGACGAGGAACCGTATCCTTCCGATGACAGCACGGTGTCAGGAGTTGTCGAAGCGGAGATCGACCTAAAAGAAATGATAGTTCCCTCATTTTTTTTTGTAAAATACGCTGCCAAACACTTTTTTAAACCGGGGACGAGAAATCAGAAGAAGAAGAAGAAGAATTTCATCTTTGTCTTCTTCTTTCTCTCACCCTTTTAACAGGAAAAAATAACGAAAGGAAAAGTTAATCAATTCGTACCCAATGGTGGTGTCTGGACTAAGCGACCAACTGCTTCCGCATTCATATCCGCTACCGTAACCCATGTATGCTGAAATGTCTGCTGATGGCGTTTGAGCAGTGCATCCGTATGGAATTTGAGGTGCTGGAATAGGAAGGGTAGGAATAGGAAGGGTCATTCACATCTGAAATGGGCAGGGCCAACGGGTAGCCCACCTCTCAATAAGAGAGTATTCTAATGAATCAAAAAACGATCGCATGCTTGATTGCCGAGCTCTAGAATCTTGAAAACTGTTAAAATAGAGGAAAATCTGTTAAAAATACGTTTTTGTATATCTTGATGGTACTGCAAATCACAAATCAAGACACCTGAAATTGTTTTACCTCTTTGATATGGATGGTGTCCAACATTTGAAACACGGACATTCTGTACTGGACCTCTACCAAGAAGCTCCCCATCCTTCACCTCCTCATTTTCCTTCTCATCTTTACCGGCGACTTTCTGCTCGAGTTCCTTTTCTTTTTCTTTGTCGTCCAACTTTTTGTCTGACTTTTTCTCTTTGTTTTGTTCTGACTTTTGTTCCACATTCTTCTTTTCCTTTCCTTCTTTTTTCTTTATCTCAACGTCGTCTTCATCTTCCTCATCCTGAAAGACACGAGAGCCTTCATTAATAATAATTGCTCATTTCTCTCGATGTATGAAAAATTAATTTTTCTCTCGTGCTGAGAGAAATGTGAAAAAAGAAGCACAGAAACTACATTTTTAGATCAAACGAACTGAAACATCTGCTTTTGACGTGAGAAAAAGAAGACAACTAGAAGGAACTAGAATATATGAGTCACTCCAAAACTGATTGGATTTCCAAAACTAACTCGTACACTTTGTTTGGGTGGGGTCAAGTCGGCGTATAGTTTGACACCATCGAGTTGGAACTTCGCGGTTTTTGTCTTTTTGGCCAATGCAGATGAGCGGATGTTCTGGATGTCGCGGAAGTCGGATGGAGTGACGGCATGAGTAGATTCAAACTGAAATAGAGGGTTACTGTAGTTTACATTTATATAATAATGAAATCTTATGATCAACCAAGCACACACACACACCTTGTTTGCGCATTTCGGGTCGCCGACGGTCAGTTTGCTCAAAAGACCACTGAGCACGTCAGATGACGGAATCGCCGCATCAGCCGGAATGGCTCGAGCAACAAGGCAGTTTCCCTTTGGAGCAGGGGCAATAGTTGCCATGGCTGGAATATCTTGATATGATAAAAAAGATGGGGGTGGGGGTGGGTGAGGCGGAAAAAAGGAAAAGAGGTTCAAAGAGAAATTGTGTTAAGTACAACAGAGTCTAGACAGACAACAAATCTCCCAGGAGCATCCGTATATTGAAATAGACAAAAAAAAACAGAAAAAAAACGTCTCTAGGGAATCGAGTACCAAAATGGAGAGAGATAATAGCGAGATAACAACAGAAAATACATATGTGTGACTATAGACATGAGATTATTGGTGACTGACTTTTTATTGCCACATTACAAAAGATAGAGAAAAATCAATCGATAGTTTGATGCAGCTAAACAATTTATTTGACAAAAAAAATATGAACATTCGAGCTGATGTCAGAAACTAACCTGACAATGACATAGATTACCGGTAAATAAAAAGCCGGTGATATACAAAAACGTATTGTTCAGTGAATTTTGGGCCATTTTGACCATTTTCAGGAGTCCGTAGCTCGGTTCTCAAATGTCCATTCGACATTTTGGAGAGTATGAAACATATTTAGATTGAATACTTTGCATTCACAAAATGTTTCAAAAATTCCTAGTTCATCAGCTATTTGCCGATTTCTGAAGGACACCTTTTTTCCACGTTTCCAGTAAACAGCGGGTTTCAGAAAACAGCAAATAGCTTGAAAAGTAGAATTTCTTTGAAAATTCTGTAAATGCAAAGTTATCAGTCTAGATCTGTTTTATACTTTTCAGAATTTTCAAAGTGTTCGGACACTTGCAAGCCGAGCTACAGATTCCTGAAAATCGCCGAAATTCAACTGAAAATTACATTTTTAAATAACTCATTGACCGGTACTGAATGAAACAAAATGAAAATAATTCAAACCTTGAGAAGAAACTAGAATACAGTTGAACGGATCAATTAATTAGACTAATTAAATCCAAAGAAAAATCCGTTTCAAAATTGGCTTCACTAAGATATGAAAGTAGCATCAAATAGCAGAAAATAACTTTCTATGAAAAAAATGAGAGAAGAAAACGAAGAAGAAGAAGAGAGGCTACAAGTGTTTGACTTTAACAAAAAGGACCATTCAATTGTTCTCAAAAATATTGGTATTTGCAAAGCTCGGGTAGGTTTGAGAAAAGTTGGGTAGGGGTGAAAAGAAGAACGGAGACAAATATTTGAGCATTATGGTAAGGTTGAATCGGGCGCGCGCGGCGGCCCAACAGTAAGAAAGATGTTTATCTGTCACAGACACACTCACACGCACACACAGATCCTTACTCCTTGCTACTACTGCCTATGATTAGTCAACTTGTGGCCGAGCCGAGTCGCTTCTTTTTCATCTCCATCTGTGTGAGGCTTTTTCGTTTCATTTGACGGGAAGTGGACGCGACGCAACCGCGTCGCAATGAATGCCCTCTCCCCCGTGGTAAACGTGGAGCGAGGAAAAAAAGAAGAAAAAAATAGAAAAAAGAAAGAGGACGAGGGGGTGAAAAAATAAAGAGACGCAGAGAAGACATGGTGCTTTTTCTTTTTCATCTCTTTCATATCTGCCCCGCGACCTTCTTTAGGAGTTTTTTCTTTCTGTGCTTCCTCTGGTGGACCGGCTGTCCTCGATGTTTTTGAAATAACACGCTATCTTCTCTTCTCTCTACCCTACCTCTAGGTTTTGCCGTGTGTGTGTGTGTGTGTGTGTGTGTGTGTGTGTGTGTGTGTGTGTGTGTGTGTGTGTGTGTGTGTGTGTGTGTGTGTGTGTTGCGTTTCTGTGCGACGCGCGCGATTGCCGTCCAGTCGCCGAGAAGACGAAATTTTAGTTCCTGGTTGGGTTTGAGACAGTGAGGAGATAGAGAATTCTGAAAACACTGGGAGAGAGAATGACAAGCAGCAGCACATCACACGTTATGTGGTTTCGAGTCAATTTCTTTTTTTTTCTTTGCTCGAAGCTACCTCTTCTTCTAACCTACCGTTGGCGCCAAACGAACGAAAAAACACTAGGGGCAAATGACAAAAAGTGGGCGGAGTCTGACTGACACATATGACATATTTGGTAGCAAAAGGAAGAAGAAATTATGAGAAAGAGACAAAGAAACAAAAGAGTATGTTACTAGAGGTGAGAGGGCATTCAGAGAACTGAGGCCAGAAAATATTAGAAAAACAGAAAACAACTGTTTTTGGGAGAGTTCTCTGAGTGGGCGTTTTTCTGATAAACAACAATGTTAAGTCAATTTTTGACGAAAACCACAGACTGACCAAAAACTGAACTTATTGGTTCCAACTTTTCGGTTTCTTGGCTACAATGAAGTTAATGAATTTCATCCTTTTTGAAAAATGTATCTCTAATGAAACGAATCAAAAAACGTCCGACACTAACCCACATGTTTTTCTCCGTCCGATTATAAAGTACATGTAAAAATGAGTTATCACTTTTACATGATTATCGGATTATGAGCCTCAGTTCAGACAACCCGCAGAGATCATTTTTCTACTTGGAGAATTTATTGGAGCGGAAGATAAGACTCAAAAGATCAAATTTTGTTGGTGAACTCGAGAAGGGACTAACAAGGGACCTCAACCCAGATTTTGATGAAAATGTCAGGACAGGTTAACAATAACCTGTCCAGATACCTCTGAAAGTTGTGGAATCTATTAGCTAGTTTCAGCAGAGTTGTATCAGTTTCAATGCCAATAATCACGTTTTCAGTGCAAAATAGGGATTTTTAAGGCAATTATCTCAATTTCTAAGACGTTTTTGAACATGAAATTTGTTGTGTTATTCTTGGAAATAGCTGAAATTTCGAAAAATTTTATTTTTTGAATTTTTAAACTAATTTCAAGAATTATTAGAAAACTGAAAAAAATCTATAAATTATCGGAAAAATGAAATTTCATTTAATTTTAAATATGACACAACAAATGTCATATTCTAAAACTTTCTAGAAGTTGCGAAATTCCTCTCCAAAAGTTGCTGTTTTGAACTGAAAAGGCAACTTTTGAATAGTTAAAATGATATAACTCGGCTGAAACTGGGCAGAGGGTCATAACATTTGCAGAGATGTCCAGATAGATTATTATCAAGCCAATCCCGAGCTTTTCATGAAAATCTGGGTTGATGTAGAAATGACATGCGGAACATGAAAATTGAATTCATGTTATTACTGAATAGTTCATACTTGAGAATTGCTAAAAAAAAAAAGCGAAAACAGGAAAAAGTGCAAGGACGGACTCATAAAGTTAACCCAAGATTTCTCCATGTTCTTCTTTCTTCGAAAAATAACGGAAGGCACAAGACTCTCACACGTCAGAAAAATGTCGAGCTTCTCTAGAGGGCTGACAGAACGGAACTTCCCGATTAGGGGCTCGCCGAGCTCACGGCAAGGTTTATGAAGAATGTCTTCGAGACTCTTTTTCTAGGAAAAACAAAACAACTGTGCCCCCGAATTCGGGGTACATTTTTTTCTAGACCAAGAACTTGAACGCCTGGACTTTGAATTTTGATGCCTTACTGTCTAGAAGTTAACAGGTATCTCTTATCAATAGTTTTTTGTTCACAAATCGACCAACAGAGAAGTTCGGATTAAAGTGCAAAGGTCGAAATACAGTATGCCTCTAAAAGATTTGTATTTTAATGCGACACGGTAGCGAGCGTGTGTTAGAGATATTACATCAGAATCGCGTAAGAAACAACTGAACGTGACCTGAATAATTGAACGACCTGTGGGAGAAGTTCCAGACAGGTTCTCACGAAAAAGGAAGTGCAAAGAAGATAAATTAATTGGTAACAAATTATGTTCTAACACTGATAGCTCTGCGGGGGAAAGAAGGAATACCGAAGATCTTGCTGAAAAAAGATCACGCGGTCCGACAAAAGGAAAAAAACACACACTCACGCAAAAACTGAAAAACGAACGAGTAACATGACAGTGGAGGGAGGGGGGGGGGGGGGTAAATGGAGAGAATAACATGGGAACATGTTTTTTCAGCAGCAGCATTTTCAATTGTTTCTTTTTTCATGGCGGGAAGAGAGAAGATTGAAAACTATGAACAAAATATATGTATGATAATCGGGATCAAAACTTTAGGAGAGGAAAAATTTTGAAAGACTAACATGTAGTTGTGGGTGGGGGAGAAGAAATAGAACTGAAAAAAAACAAAACCTAAATTGGAAAACGAGAGAAAGGATGAAGGAGAGGAATACAAAGATCCGTTCCAGGTGGAAGAGTGAATCACAAGGAGGAACTAAAGACTATTGGTTTTTAATAGAATCCCGATTTCAACTTCCGATGCTTTTCATCTTTTCAATGATTTCTCTTGTTTCTCTTTTCTTTGTAGTTTGATCAAGAATACATAATTTGAATTGTAAGAAAAACGAGAGCGGAAGTGAGAAAAGAGAATTTTCTCGCTTTCACAAAACATAGTATTATCACTTTCTGGTTTTTAAGCCAAACATCACAAAAACTCGTTTTTCAAGCAATAACACTTCTTGAAGAAACTCGCACTAATTAGTTCGACACACGCTTTCGGGTTTCTCCGAATTCAAAAAGTGTAAGTAAGAGGAAAATAGTCCTCTGAAAAAATATTCTCAAATTTCCCGTATGTGGTGAAAACAACATGACATGTATCGAATACAAAAAAGGAGATGTTTTTGGCTGTATGTCAGAAAACCTCTGACAAATTGGAGATAACCGCATTGTGATAAACAAAACCTTCTTATGATCTGCTCCATTGAGTTTTTCAGATAGTGTTAGTGGCTGAGCCGAGAAACATGCATTAAATTATGAGGAAATAAGTTTGAAGGGGTAAAGACAGAAGCTTTTTTGGGTTTTGTGGAAACTACGGTATTCATTTTGACTTGACTATGTACAGTAAATATTATTTACACAGCGCGTTTCTGTCAAGCATCTTTCAAATATGACATCAGTTGGTCGCACAGCTTACGCCACCGTATCTCAGCCAGTAGCGCGCGGCACTTTTAATGGTGGGCCCGCAAGTTCAGCTTCTCTATGGGATTG